ACACCAAACAGCAAGTTGGAATTAGACAGAGATTTATTGGCTACAACGGTTTGCAAAGCGTGGTGGACTCCAAATAAATATTTGAGCCACACCTAGTCACAGCGAAAACACACATTATATACATTCTATCCCGACTCCTTGGCCCCTCCTCTGAGGTTACAGTCTTATCAGGATCGCCTAAACAAAATACACTATCCCTGCCCCTTGCTATTTTGCTTCACCTATTCCCTTATATGTACTTTATCATGAAATCCTATAGCTCAGTGTGGAAATCCTATAGCCTACGTGCAGAACTCTTCCAAGGTACGTGTACATGTAGAAATTGTGTAGAAATCTTGCAGTCCACATGTAGAAATTTTAGAGTATGTGTCACTTAACTTTACTTTTTATTCTAAAATTTTATTCCTAACAATGGGAGAAGAAGGTGACATAACTTTCTTTAACACCATCTAGGCAGATGAGGACACCCCTTCCCCAAATCAAAGCATACAGTGATAATAGTTTACTTAGCAAATAATTGTCTGGATATAAATTTTAGGGTGATACTGGGGATGAAAATATATTGACTGGAAAACTCTGCTGGCTCCCTGTTTTATAAAATTCTTTCCTTAAGGAGGCTTGACTGATCTGTTCATCACTAAGAAGTGTTAAAAATCCTGTGCTTTTACTGTCTGGAGAATTTTATTACATAGTTTTTTATAGTATGCCAATATCACTTTTTCAGTATCTCATAGGCTTCCATAAATGTTGGATTACAGTTGCCATTGACATAATCACAGCCAGAAACGGTGGGAATTGTAAGCCAGCGATACTTGAGAGCCACACTTTCCCTGCTCTGTCTTGCCCATGCATTTTTCTATACATTTGCTATTCAAAATTCTCCCATCTGCAAAAACTGGTTGTGCTTAATATTTCATATATTTCTATCAGTTAGACAATACATTCCTTATGGGGCAATCGTCATACTTTGTGTCTCTTTATACAAATTGGTTTGGGAGTATTTTATTGTTCTTTTTAATTATGATTTTAGTAGGTGCCCTCTGCCACCATGGACCTATCGTTTATTTCATATATATTAACTATGAGAATAAAACATCTCCTAAAATTGTACCTTAATTTTCTTAGCCTTTGTGTTCATAGACTAGAAAGTCTTTTTACAACAAGTATTGAAAACCAACTATTCTTGTTTCACTGGGACAGAGATTGCATTCCACTCCATTTGAGGATTACATAAAACATAATTTAATCCAGTTCTTTTTAGTTACGTGTGAATACTTTTAGTTTTTTACTGTTAGTTATAACAATACATATTTTTAAAAAACATTGTACAGAAAAAATAGCAAATAATGTTTTGCATGGATATTATTTCTTTGCAATTCATAAGGAATTTCATTTTTTCCCTTTTTCGTTATTTCATGAATGGATATGATCTGAATTCCTCAAGGGGAGCCGCTTAGTTGATGTGAACAATGTGATTTGGTGGAATTAAATTGTACTTTTAGAAAAGCTGACAAACGGGCATAATGGAAAATAAATGGTGTTATGAACTGAGTTACATTTAATCAGCATTAATTAACCTGTGTGAAATAAGGTTTCCCCTTTGCAGTATTTAGTGTTGTATTGCAATGAATGGTGGCAGGAGAAGATAATTTGCAATGAAAGTATAGTAAGGAAATGCTGGAGGGAGTACGTTAGGGATTTATATGGAAATAACTTTGATAAGACAAAGATGGAATTGAAATGAATGCTAGTGTTAAAAGTGATGCAAAGAAAGTAATAAATGCTGTGAGAAAAATTAAAATGCAGGATTTGGTGGTGTAACTATTGAAATATTAAAATAGATCTATGCTTGGTTTATGGAACAATTGTGTGATTTGTTTAATGTATGTCTCAAGACTATATCTAGGCTTGACATTTGGGCAATATCATTGTTGTTCCTATATACCAAAGGAAACGTAGCATAAATGAATACAAAAACTACATGGGGATTGGAGTCTTCTAAGGTCACCTGGCAAAAATCTGGAAAAATTGTGGTGTAGAGCAGAGGTCCCCAACCCCTGGTTCATGGACTGGCACTGGTCCGCGGCATGCCAGAAACCGGTTCATGCAAATAAGTGAAGCCCCATTCATGGGATGCAGACAGCACATGAAACCACAACCCCTCCAGTCCTTGGAAAAACCTCTCTCCACGGAACTGGTCCCTAGTGCCCAAAAGTATGTGAAAGCTGACAACGAGCAAAATTTGTTAAGGGTGATGCAGCTTTATATGAGGCAAAGAGTATACAGACCAAATTTTCCTCTGTAGCTCTTCATTGAGAAATATATGAGTGTAAGAAAGTTTATTGTATGCTTGTTGGTTTAGAGAAAGCATATGATAATAGGCTTGTGGAACTTTTGTGCAAATATGAGAACACGAAACTTGCTATGATAAAAGCAATATATGATTGAAGTAAATAATGTAAAGGAATGCCTAGTGAATGATTCAACACTAGTGAGATAGAGAGACAAAGAAGGGTTACGTGATCTTAGTTAATATACTGTTGGATAAATATATAAGGAATACTTGAGGTGATATTAAAGGTGTGCTGGGTGTGGCTATATGTATTTTTATTTTCAGATTATGCCATTTTGTCACTATATTGTTCATTACAGGTCCGAAAATGAATGCATCAAAAACCAAGATAGTTGTGTATGATGGAGGAAATGATTGCAAGTTATATACGAATAGAAAAAAAACAGAGCAAGAAGATAAATATATGTACCTTTACTAGAAATAGGTAAATGGAAAAAGGAGGTGAATAGTATGTGATCTGCTGTAGAGAACATTATTTTTTTTTAAAAAGTGCACATGACTGCATAATAGCATGGTTTTGCTTATTTTGTTACAGTAGAATATTAACTACTTAATCTAGGCCAGGGGTAGACAACCTCGGCTCTTTTATGACTCACGGACTTCAACTCCCAGAATTCCTGACTCAACTCAGTTCTGGGAGTTGAAGTCCATGAGTCATAAAAGAGCCGAGGTTGCTTACCCCTGATCTAGCTGAAATAAAAGTAAGTTAAATGCAGTGAGGATGGGATACAGTGGTATTTCGATACTCAAAGTTAATTGGTTCCAATGAGTGCCAAAAACGATGAATACCAAACAAATTTTCCCATAAGAAATAATGTGAGTCACAAGGCAGCCAACACCAACAAGTTCTAGCTTGTGCATTGAGTACCAAACCATGACTATCGGGACAATATTTTCAAGTCAAAATGCGTTGAGTACCAAATTCGGTGAGTTCAAAGCAGTTGAGTACCAAGGTACCACTGTACTTTAAAAAGTATTCATAGTAAAAGAATAAATAGGATTAAGAATGAATGGATGAGTGAGTATGAATTGAATAAAAAGTAACCACTATAAAAAAGGTATACTGAACCCAACAGTTCCTTTCAATGTCCCATAAGGGAAGGTTATCTTTCAAACTTTTATGATTCTTTGATCTATTGATCTTTTTCAGTCTTGGTTCAGTGTTGATTTTATGTTGCTTGTTTTCATGCATGAAACAAGATGGAGTCTGGAAGTACATTATGTTGCTTTCATCTGTTGTCAGCATTTATTATTTGTATCTTTCTAGAAGATTTGAACGATATAAAGTTATGCTTTGAGGAAGTTTCAGATTTATTTGGCTGAACATCACAGAAACTGGTACTGTTGTTTTCAGCAATTCATTTATGTGATCTCTTTGGTCTCTATATGATTCTACACATTTTAGCATCTAAATAAAAGTAATGGGAGAGATTGTCAGTTTGAGCATAGGGTATCATCCCTGTGCTGATCATATATGAATTTTCAGTGACTTTAATTAATGGCTTTAATTGATGTATCTATTGTGGTGAAAAGGGGGAAGACAAGAATAATATGCCAGTACATTAAATGCTGTCTGAAAATAATAATAGCAAGGACAGTTAAAATTAAGTTGTATCTATTGTTATTTATTTGTATTTTGTCTTTATTTTACAAATAACTCAAGGTGGCAAACATATCCAACACACTTCCTCCTCTTATTTTCCCCACAGCAATGACTCTGAAATGGGTTGGGCTAAGTCTAGAGAAAGTAACTGGCCTAAGGTCACTAGCTGACTTTCATGGCTAAGGTGGGACTAGAATACTTTGTATGATAGCTTGAATCTGTTCAGTAGATAGGCAGAAAGACTTACTCGTTTGAACGTATTCATTTAAATAAATATTGTTGTAACACTCTGGGCCATCAGCTTCCTTTTTCATCCTTCCAATGATATGACTTCTAATATTAAAAGTAATTGATCATCCATAAGGAAAACTATCCTGTTCAATCTCTCTTCCTATGAGAGGAAATCAACAAATTGTTTTGCATACCTGTCATGTAAGTACTTGTCTGCATTTGTTTGTAGGACTGAAATTCAAGTCTGTTTAAAACAATTACCTTGAGGTTTTTTTTAAAAAAAAATACAAATATTTTACAGAAAAGTATGACCATGTTAGAGCTGAGACATGTTTTTACTATATACTTATCAGTTTGAGTGGCTTAATTTTTAAGGTTTGAATGTATTCATTTCTTTTGTTTTTGCTTTCTTTTAAAGGAAGAGATTGTTATGAACGTTCAAATTCATGGTGCTCATTTTTTAAAAAAAAATTCAATAGTAATACAAAAATAGTTTTAATAAAATGCAGAGTTCATGTGTGCATAGATGTCCTGATAATTGCAATCCAAAAAATGTAGTGCAATTATAGCTCCGAGTTGGGGAAACATGTACAACTAAGTCAGTGTGGGATTCAAATATGTGAACAACCAGTTCTCTGTGTGGATGCTGCTTATGGAAGTCCATTCTGGGCCTGGGCAACAAAAAATTAGCTACCAGTTCTGCTGAAGTGGTGTGAACTGGCTGAATCCCACCACTGAACTAAGTACCTAAATTAGTTGATCAAAATATTTTTATCACAGAATTGTAATTTTTTTTTTGTTCTCCACATTTAGGGACATCAGTATGAACAATATAACAAGATTACCAGAGAATGCCTTCAAGAATTTCCCTTATCTTGAAGAGCTGTGAGTATTAAATATAATACTGTGGTATGTGATATGGAGAGTGAATGAGTAGAAATTGGCTGAAGAATTCATTGACAACTAAATAACAAACAGTAATGATACTGTGCTAATGAGAGAAAACATATTTCTTCAAACACCATTTGCAAGAGATCTTTTTATAGTAATTATTTTAATTGTGATTTCAGTGATGACATAGAGTAATTACAGTGTTGCCCAAAGGCAATATGGGAGTGTGTAATTACCACAGTTTTAAATGGAGCTGTGCTATATTGATTGCATAACTTATATACAATATGTGACAAATCCTTGTGCTTACTATGTGCCAGGAACATCTGAATGATAGGGAAAAATATTTTGTCTTGTCTAATTTGACAGCTAAAAAGCCAGTTTCTAGTCCTTGCTGTATCAGAGGCATACTTCAGAATTCCTAAAAATAACTAAGTAGAGATTCCCCCAAAAAACATTAAAGTAGATCTAAATCATCTAAGGCAGGCATGTCAAACTCATGACGTCATGTGATATTGCGCGGCGTATTGCGACTTTTTCCTCATTGCCAGCAATGGGGTGGGTGCGGTTTTGGCGTGATGCATCCTGCCCGCGGGCCAGCAGTTTGACATGCCTGATCTAAGGAGGTGTGGTATCTTTGTACCTTATCCAGTTCATGATCCCAGCTTATCAAACATTTATAACCAGTTTGCTTAACTTGGATACATGAACAAGAAAAAAGTACCAACTCTGTTTTACAAAAGTGTCTCATTCTAACCACTAAGAAATTATTGCTACTTGCTGAATATGATCAGCTGCGAATTTTTCTGTAGCTAAGAGCCACATTTTGCCTCTGAGAGTTACAGATTACCACTGGTATTAATAAGTAGACTGTGATGAAATTTTATCTCATTCTTAGGGAAAATTAAAAGAAAACTTGTTGTGTTAAGATTAGCCACTTTATACTGGAACTGCAGCCCACAATTTATTGTAAATTGTAATACTAAAGTGTACACTAAACTTTGTGTGTGTGTGTGTGTGTGTGTGTGTGTGTATGTATGTATACACACACACACAGGATTTTTGTAGTATACACACACACAAACACACATATGCCTGCATGCAATACACAGATACAGCATTTCTTTTAGTAGAATAATAGCCTGTATATTGGCTATATAGTGGTGTGAAGATCATTATATAGTTTACTCAACTACATGGCATTGGACTTACATGGCATTGGATGTTTGTCAGGGGAGTTGCCAATTTCCAGATCTCTTTTTGTTGTAGGAAAGCAATTAGATTCTTGAAGGTTTTCTGATTGATGCGTCCTTCTGTGATAGAAGCTTTTTTTTATATCTAATGGACAGTGTTTTTAAATTATAGGAATTAAAAGGGAAGGTTCTAAAATTCCCAGGAGCATAGAAACTGAAAAAAGCCTCACCTAGCTATTCAGTCTAAATTGTCTCTTGTGTTCCACCCAAAGACAAAAGCCTCAAGGAAAGCCATTCAAATAGTCTTTATTTCTAGAAAATATTTTGCTGACTTTTGATGCACACTGTACTTCACAGAGCAGGATAGGCTGACAAACCTGAAACATCCTCTACTACTTACAGGAAAAGCAATTAGTACTTGGGAACTTTATGTTAGTAGAGAACTTTATAAGTGAGAGCAGCATAGTCATTTGGGGCCATTTGTCTCCACTTTTAAGACAGATATTCAGAACTCTTGTACCATCTGTAATATTTGTTGTTGTAAACTTCATAAACATATATTATGGGAACCAGAACTCAAGAACAAATTCTACTGAATATTGCAAATATTGTTAAAATAATGTCCAACCAATTAAATAAAACTCCCTTATAACGTGGGCCTGTTGAATTCCTTCTATTATAACAGGCATGGTTCACATACTCTTTTTTTATACTAGTTTAGAAATTATCTTATATTCAAATATGTAAGTTGATTAATATTTTTAGATTTCCTCCTGTCACATTTGTTAACATTGGTTTGTTTTCTCCTTCCCTCCAACATGAGGAAGTTGTTTATTTAATGTTGACCATGAATTATTACAAGTGTAGTCAAAAGAAAAAGTTATAGTTTATACACTGTTCAGGACAAGTATGTGTATAGCATTATTAGCATTTAATAATCTGTAGCATGCTAATGAATATAATGGAAACTCTTTCTTTTGTGGCAATTACTCTTCTGGAAGTAATTTATAAAAAGGCATTACAGAAAACTATCAAAGACCTTGCCATTTCCTTTAATGATATGTGTATTGTACGTAATGTCAGCATGAGCATTAAGTCTGTGAAAATCATTCTTGAAAGCTTGATACAGCTATTTTAAGGCCTGTTCTACTGTTCTACTCATGTTCCATGGGCACTTGCCAAGATTCCTTTACAAACTGTAAATCAGCTGTAATTAGTATGTTGCTGCCCTGAGTATTAGATGGGGACTAGAATTCCTGGGAGAGTTTGACAGAGCTCTTGCTTTCCTTACAAAGTATCTACAGTTTTGTTCAAATATCTCAGTGTTTCCCAAACTTGACAATTTTAAGGCATGAGGACTTCAACTCCCAGAATTCCACAGCCAGCAACGCTGGCTGTGGAATTCTGGGAGTTGAAGTCCACATGCCTTAAAATTGTCAAGTTTGGGAAACACTGAAATATCTAAATGTATTCCACAAAATTAGTTTTAAAAAACTTAAAGCATTTGTAGGCTACTCCTTTGTAGCCTAAATGCATTCGGATTAATGGATTTAAAATCCCAGAATTTGGAGTTCTTTGTCATTCAAAAGTGCACAAACTGTTGCAATAGTAGTGGTTATTTAAATTCAATATGGCATTAGATTTAGTAACAATAGAAAGAAAAGACAAAAAAGCAGTGTTAGGAATATGCAAATGAAAAGACACCCAAAGAAGTGAGTGTGTACTTAAGGACATATGGGGGGGGGGGGCTCTGATTACATATGAAAGCTTTTTTGGGGGAATAAAATAAGAGAATTCATGATATGAAGCTGGATCTAATTAATACTTTATAGCCATGCTGAGTATTTAAAAGAAGTATTTTGCAATGAAAAGACCCTTCTTGGATTGTTAAAGTAACTGCATTCTTTGGAAGCTCTAAAGCAGGGCTTTTCAACCAGTGGTACAGGTACCACCTGTGGTACATTGGCACCTGGCAGATGGTATGCGACCATCCTAGAAAAGTAGCGGGGGAGGGGAATGATTTGAACCGCACTGCACAAGCCTGAGCGAGAGATGGCTGGAGCTGCAGGGCTCAGCGGAAGCACCAGGATCCAGTTGGAGCTCGGCGCTGATCCTGGCGCTTCTGCTGAGTCCTGAAGAAGCACCGATCAGCTGGAATGTTGCAGCATCTCCAGGTCTTGTGATTTACATTCAGATGCTTGGCAACTGATTCATATTTATGACAGTCACAGTGTCTCAGGGTCATGTGAAGTGACCAAAACCTGCTACAAACACCCAGCAGATGGGGGGAATAAAAACCAAACACCACCCTCCCCAGCCCACCCCTGCTGCCAGTCCTCAACAGAAATGCTCACAACAATGAAAACCTCGGACAGAAGGAAGAGCGCAGGTGGGCGGGCAGGCAGGTGTGTGGCTTGGGGGGGGCATTTTTTTCAGTGCCATTGTAACTTTGAACAGTCACTAAGCGACCTGTTGTAAGTCAAGGACTACCTGTACTTCATCACTTTTTCCCTTTAGGGGGGGTCATCAAGTTTTTGATACCTTGCTGGGTGACTGGTGCTACTCGGATATTGCCATATCCTAAAAGTGGTACAATGGGTGAAAAGGTTGAAAATCCTTCTCTAAAGCCTAACCATACTGTCTATGCATTTGTGAATGTGGACAGCTTTGCTGGCAGTTTTGAAGGAACTGTTGTCTGTGCAAATATATGTGTGTGCAGACATCTGGGGAAAGTGAAGCAGCCAAGTGAGCATTCCAAAATCTGTTCTAGAGCTTTGAAAGCAATGCTTTGTCTCTTCTTTGGAACCATCACTTTCAGATTCTTGGTACAGAGTACTGGATTGTATTTTCCCAAACTTCTCCCTTTTCAAAAACCCACATCTGGACAGGCTAAGCAAATATAAATTCTATAACTCCTATAATTATATTGCTGTGACTAATCTCCAGTTACTTCGGCTAGTGACTGCAGCTTAATTTTTAATTCAGGTTTTATTTTACCTTTGTAGGTAGCACCATGTAATATTTCTTGAATTTTAATTACATTTTATATAACCCTATAGCAGTGGTTCTCAACCTTTCTAATGCCGCGACCCCATAATATAGTTCCCCATGTTGTGGTGACCCCCAACCACTTATACATCACCGGGTGCCAGGGGCGCGGCCAAAGAAAAGGGTGAAAAAATGGTGGACAGCCTTGTTTGGCGACCCCCGTGAAAAGTCGTTCGACCCCAAATGGGGTCCCGACCCACAGGTTGAGAACCACTGCCCTATAGTGACTCAGTTTTTTAGTTTTATAGAATTTTTTTCAGCTTTTTTCTTACCACCTTTTAACCCTGTAGTCACTGTCCTTACAGGTTCGTGGGGTGTGTGTGGTATAGTTGCTGATTCCACTATCTCTACATGTTGTGTTGATAAGAGACAGAAATAAAAGGATATTGTAAATTATTTTTGATCAAACAGTCACAAAATTCTGCTTTGCTTTTATCTCTCCAAGCGAATAACATTATTCTGTGAAGTTGCATTCCTCCAGAGAAATATCATTTTAATAAAGAAGATATGGCATCCTCAGTAAACATGGTTTTTGTTGAGTCCTTGGCGAAAAGCAGACGCGAGAAGCAGTTGTAGTTCTCAGGTTTCCTTTTATTCTGTGTTCAGCTTACAAGTGAAGGCTTCAGCAACGCCCAAAAGCTCCTAGCCTCTTATGTAGGCAGTTCCCGGGTCAATGTGTTACTTTTCCCGCGCCAGCACCCGCGCATGCGCACGGCGCTGGCGACAGCCTGTCTGGTCCCGGGCAGCTTGCAC